GGTTGTAAGCAGAGGAAAGATGTGTGGTCAGGTGGCTGCCGTGAAGGGAAGGAACTGAGGAGGGGTCTATAAAGGGCTGCTATGGCATCCTGGTAGATGTGGGAATCCTAAGTGGGGGGACTGGTGTGGGGACCAGTGGGTGAGAGAGCGGGGAGTTGGTGTCTCAGAGGGACAGAGACTTCATTTGGGAAGATGAGAAGTTATGGCAAGGGAGGGTGGTGATTGTTGCACAGTGTGAGTGTGCTTAATGCCACTGAGCTGTGCACTTAAAAATAGTTAAGATAGCAAGTTTTCAGTTATATTTATTTTACCACAATTAAAAGAGAACAAACAAATAAAAAAGTACCAGTCCTGGCCAGGCACAGTGGCTCACCTCTGTAATCCCAGCACTCTGCAAAGCTGAGGCAGGTGGATGGCTTGAGCTCAGGGGTTCAAGACCAGTCTGAGCAAGAGCAAGACCCGTCTCTATTTTCAAAAATAGAAAAATCAGCTGAGCCTTATGGCAAGCACCTGTAGTCCTAGCTACTCAGAAGGCTGAGGCAGAAAGCTCGCTTCAGCCTAGGAGTTTGAGGTTGCTGTGAACTATTACTCTACTCAGCAACAGAGTGAGACTGCCTGAGGAAAAAGAAAAAAGCGTACCAGTTCTTTCTGTGCATTTATGAATTATGCTTGGAGGCAGTGGTTCTCAAGCTGGGGTGATTCCGACCTAGTAGGTGGAGGTTAGGGCTGTTGCTCAACACACCCTGCAATGCACAGGACATACACACGCCCCAACAAGGAACCATCAGTCCCAATGTCAAGAGCACAGAGGGTAAAAAACCCAGCTGCAGAGCTACCGCCTCCTGGAAGTCCCCCTGGATTTGACATACCAACTGCCCTTCCCAGCTGCACCTCTCCCACACACACACACACACTCTTTCCTTCTTCCCTCAAAACACGGGAGAAGTTGAACAGGTGAGAATGCGGTGAGTCCGTGACTGTCGGGGTGAGGTTGGGACGTGTGGGGGTCATCCAGTTGGTTCTTGTACAAGGCCCTGTCCCAGATGCTGAGGTTTGGGGGTCCCCACCATGGACGTGGCTCTGCCCTGCACAGAGGGATTAGGAGCATTGTTGGGTCCAGCTGCCATTGACTTGGGATTAAGGTCAGTTAAGGAGGGGATCTCAGCCAGGGATTGTTTAGGGTAGTTATGGTTGGACAGTCCCCCCCCCCAGGATCTCAAACCTGAAAGAAGAACCCACACCCCAAGATCTAGAGCCCACATCCACATGGTTTTCTGGTTTTCCCCCAAAGGGAGCAAGAGGCGTGTTAATACCACAGAGGGGAAGGGGGTTGCATAGTCTCATGACTTGTCCCCTGGGTCCCTTGGGTCCCTGAAGCATCCTCTTATCTGAGTGGAGCCTTGGCAGGGACCCAGCAAGCAAGCTGCAGCGTCCAGGAAGGACACAGTGGGTCAGTGGTGGCCTCGGGTTGGGGACCCACAGAACTCTCAGAAGCTCAGGAACACCAAACTGCATGCCAGCCTTATCCTGGATCCAGACCTCTGTCCTTGTGTCCTCAAAACAGCCTGACTGGAATTATTCCCAAGTTTCCTTCTCCTCCTCTCTGCATTCATTCCCATCATGGGGACAGCCCCACTGTGCACCCAGACACCCCAGCTGAGGCCCAAGCACATGGCAGGCCCCCAGTCCTACACTCTACACATGGCAGAGGCCAAGCTCTTCTCAAACCACTTGCTTCTCCCTGTCCCCACAGCCAATGCCCCAGGCTGCCACCTCTGTTCCTTTGATCCAGGAACCGCCCCCTCGTAGGGGGCTGCCTTCATCCTGGGATAGTCTCCTCCCTGGCCTCCCACCTTCCTAGTCCCTAGGACAGTATCCCTTAGGGGCTCATCTCCTGCCCCATCCCCCAAGAGAACCCCCTCTGTGCCCCCACACTTTTGTCCACTCAGCAGCTCCTCTCTTCCCCTTAACACCTACTTCCTCAACTATTAGCTCAAATCAAGGTCAAGAGAGACAACTGGGGGCCCAAACTAAACAGCCTCAGACTACCAGAATCATTCACTCAACAAACATGTACCAAGGGCCACTTGATCCAGGGTGACAAGCAAGCCATACGGTTTCTACTGTCCTGGAGTGCATGGTCCAGGAGACATTCCTGCCAGGCCCTTCCAGTCTAGCCCAGTCCCAGTTGGGAGGTGGGGTGAAGGATATAGGTGAGCCTCCTCTGGTGTGAGAGGTGTGGGGGATGGACTACCCAAGAGTGGGAATTTGAGAACCTCTATCTAGAGTGGAGACACAGGTTCAGGATCAAAAGACAAATTTTAGGGGAGACAAAGCAGGCAAAGTGCCAAAGGAGTCTATGTAAATAGGAGGCTATGTAGCAACCTACAAGCTGCAGATGCCCAACCCACACTGCCTGGGTTCAAATCCCAGCTTTGCTGTTTACAAGCTGTGTGACCTTGGGCAAGTTACTTAGCCTCTCTGTGCCTCACATCCTTCATAAGACAACATTAACCAAAGCACCAACCTTCTTGAGTGAGTGTTAAAATTAAATGTGTTAATCCATGCAAGGCACTAAGAACTGTGCCCACAGTTATGCTGCTACTAAATTAAATTCACAGCTGTCAATATCTGACCTGTCACCTCGTATATCTTTCTTTTCTCTTTTTCTTGCTCTTTCCTCTCTTTCTCTCCCTTTTTAAAATTTAATTAAATTTATTTATTTATTTTTTGAGACAGAGTCTCACTCTGTTGCCCTGGTAGAGTGGCATGGCGTCATAGCTCGCAGCAACCTCAGACTCCTAAGCTCAGGTCATCCTCCCGCCTAGTCCTCCCAGAGTGCTAGGATCACAGGTGTGAGCCACTATGCCAGCCTCTCCTTTCTTTGAAATCTCTCTCCTCTTCCCTCCCTCCTTGCCCCAGTGGCATGATGATTATTGCTTAGGGATCTCATTTCAAATCCTGACTCTACCACTTGCCTCCTCCAGCACTTTGGGGACATGGCGGAGTGTCTCTGGGCCCCATTTGCTTTGCTTATCTTAGAAATGAAGATAATAATAGCATGGACTTCACCGGGTTGTGGGGAGCATGAGCAGAGGCCATGCGTGCAATGCATCCGGGTGGCAGGCCTGTAGTTAGGTCGATGAAAATAGCAGCTGTCATGGGTATGCTTTCAGAAGAGTGTCTCTCTCACTGCTTCAACCTCTCCCCCTGACAACTCCTAGCTACCTCTCCAATCAGCCCCAAGTACCAGGAGGACAGAGACACACTTCAAACTCATGTGAGTGAGTGTGGGGCTGTGTATGTTGGGGGGCCAGCAGTGGAGTCTTAAGGGGTGGCCAGGAGGAGGTGGTAATAAGAGAAGGGAGGTGGGCAGTGACTGCATGGGGGCAACGATGAGGGCAGAATCTCAAAGCATATGGGTACCTTCTTTGGGGAAGTGAGAACTGGCCGTCTGGCATAGCAGAGCAGAGGAGGAGAGCATGGCAAGTGCACTGGAGCTGATCACTGGGCCCTGGGGAGCCATAGAAAGCTGTAAGCAGAGGCAGAATGGGTGAGGAAGATGGCCTGAAATTTACCAGCAGATACCCCTTCACAAGGCCAGGTCTCCCTATAGTTCAGCAAATAAGCTCCCAGTTCAAACATCCCACCAATGTATGACATGGACAAATCGCTGCCCTTGTAGGTCCCTCCATTCCACTGAGAGAGCTTCACAGAGTGAGGACACGCCCCCAGCACCTTTTGCTGGCTCTTTGCACACTCCCAATGTACAGATGAGGAAACTGAGTTGTTTGGCCAGGGAGAAGCCAGGACTCAGGCTCAGGGCATGTCCAGCTGCCTCATCTGAAGTTGTGGCTCCAGGATGGTGACTCCTCTGGACTCCTCCCACAGTATTGGAAGGACCAGCTTCAGCTGCTGCTAATCAGAGCCTGGCTACCCCACACTTCCTTCTTCCTAGGCTCAGAGAGGGAAAGGGACTCAACCATAATCAGGCTGTAGAGGGTCAGTAGCTTGTGCCCTCAGGATAGTCTGACCCCAAGGCCCATGCTCTACAGCACACAGTAGGTGTTGAGCTAAAGTCAAAGGGCTTTATGGATGCCCTGGCCCATTGGCAGAGGAGAAAGTTGAGGCCTGGGTGATGACATCTCAGCATTCCCCAGAAGGACATGGCAGAGTAGAAGCTAGATAGACATTTAGGATCTGAAGGCCTACCATGTGCATTTCCCCCTATACTGAAGGCCTCATATGTATTATGGTCTAATCTGATCCTATCATGACTTCATGTATTGGGTATAGTTATCAGCTCATTTTACAGAGGGGAATACTGAGGCTCAGAAAAGTTAAGTGCAGCATCATGGCAATATTTTTAGTGTTTATTATGTGCCAGGCCAAGCTCAGAGCACAATACATATTTCTACAGAGTAGAGTAAGGTATTATTAACATCATCATTTTATAGATGAGGAAGGAAGCTCTGAGGTTAATTAGGACACTTGCCAAGATCTCAGGTAGATGAAGGGATTAATAAATTGTGGTATATGTATACCATGGAATATTATGCAGCCATAAAAACGTTGGAAACTCCACATCTTCTATGTTTACATGGATGGAGCTGGAACATATTCTTCTTAGTAGAGTATCTCAAGAATGGGGAAAAAAAAGATCTCAGGTGGAGGGACACATTTGCTGAGTACCTGTTGTGCACCTCACACATGATGGGCTCCAGGCTGCCCAGCTCCTGTTCCCAAGCTGCTGTTCCTCTAGACCAGCTGTGCTTCCCGTATAACTAACCTATTGATTACTGGCTGTGGACCAAGCAAAATCAGCCACTGGTTACCAAGCCCCCAGAGTCCCAGATCCTATCCTGTACCAGTAAATAAAGCTTGATGCCTCTCCCTGACCCTCTGTTAAAACCCAGACCCCAGCCAGAGCTGTGACTATGACACTGAGTGGACTGCCTTCATAGAGTTCCCATCTCTGGAAGGATCCAAGAAAGGCCACCATGGAGGAGAACCTTTATTCAGGTGGGAGGACTTTCTGATGGTAACACTGCAAAAAGCAAGAACCCTCATCTCCTCCCTTTCATCCAGGAGAGGAGGGGGATCCCCCAGTCCTTCTCTAGAAAGGAGAGAGAATTTCTAAGAAAGGCCCTAAGGGTGGGGGCAAGGAGGTGAGCCTTGAGTGACCTTCCTGTCACAGAGCCAGGCAAGAAAGAAAAGCTGGGGGCTCCTCCTTTTTCTGACTCAACACCCTGCTGACAAAAAAACAGCTCCAGCTAAGGAGCTAGGAACCTAATAGAGTTGGAGGCCAAGTGGAACGGGAACTCAGAAGTGGAATTCAGAACAATGAATCCTCAGAACCAGGGTGAGGAGAGGGGGCTGAGCCCCATGGTGTGGCACCAAGGTAGAGATTTAGGGGGTTCAGGTTTTGGGGGTGAGGCATGGTCTGATATTTGGGGAAGGGACAGGGGAGTGACTTGGATGTGGAAGAAGAACTGGGACCTAGTCTCCTGCATTTACAGAAGAGGCTCAGCATTGGGGACAGGCGTCAGGGTAGAGCTTGACGGTCCAGAGGTATAAGGGTGATGGCCAGGGATCAGACGGGAAGAGAAGAGCCTTCTGGACATGCAGCTGGCTGAAGGGGGGCAGTCTCAGCTTCTGACTCCAGGTCTGTCTCACAGGACAATGACTTGGACCCTAGTGATGAGGAAATGGTGTACAGAGGGAGATGAGGGTCCACTGAGACCCTCTGCTTTAATGTGGGCTCCAATCAGGCTCCTAGGGATACTGGGGGCTCTGGGGGGTTGGGGACATGGGCAGAGCCAGAGCCCAGCCTCAGCCTGTGCCTCCCATCACCCCCCCTTACCCCGGCAGGGTTCTCAGAGCTGCCCAGAAAGCGGTGCTGCGGGTGGAGAACACAGCTCCTGCTGGTGGGGCTGGTGACTGCCAGCCTCTGGGCTGCACTGCTGTCCCTACTTCTCCTGTGGCGTGAGGACACCCCCAGCCCCGTTTGGCCCCTTATCCATTGAGTCCTTATGTGTTCCCTCCCAGACTCCCTTCCCATGTCCCTTCCCCTAGAGCCCCTTATCTCACCCAGCACCCCATCTCCCACCCTCTAAACACCTCCCATGGGGCACACCCAAGACCTCATCCCCAGGTGGCAGGAGGGATGTGGGAGGATAGGGTCACAAGACAACCCCCCCCTTTACACTCTTTTCTCCTCCCCTCCACAGACTGGGACACCCTGCAAAATTTGAAACAGCTGGAAGAGACAGCTGCCCAGAACGGTATGGAGAGGTCAAATCAGGGGGTGGTTTGAGGTGAGGGTCGGGACACCCAGCTCTTGCCCTGTTTCTGCCAATGACTGCCATGAGAATACCCTTCTCTGGGCTTCAGAATCCCTCTAGGAACTGAGGGTCAGCCTACATTACTCCCCACCCTGGGTAGGGGTTATGTACCCAGCAAGGCTTGGAGAAATGTCCAATAGCATCTTTTTTTTGGGGGGGGGGAGAATCTCACTCTTTCACCCCTGAATGGAGTGCTATGAAATCATAGCTCATAGCAACTTCAAACTCTTGGACTCAAGCAATCCTCCTGCCTCAGCCTCCCAAGTAGCTGGGACTACAGGCACCTGCCACAACACATGGCTAGTTTTTTATTTTTATCAGAGATGGGGTCTCGCTCTTGCTCAGGCTGGTCTCAAACTCCTGAGCTCAGGTAATCTACCTGCTTTAGCCTTCCAGAGTACCAGCCAGGATTACCACCTCTCCTGGCCCCCATAGCATTTTCCTCAGATGCTCCTCAACTTACAATGGGGCTATGTCTCCTGCCCTGATGCACCCATTATGCATTGAACATATAATTCAAAAAGGCATGGCTGGCTGGAGACTATAGCTCCCTGCCATGACCCAGAATCTCAAGATAAGGTCCATTTCTGCGGAACACATATCACTTTGGCACCATCCTGAAGTCCAGACACTGTGAGTTGGGCCATTGTAAGTCGGGGACCATCTGTATCTGTAGATAGCATAAGTTACATGACCATGTCATGCCTCAGTTTCATCTGTGAAATGGGTGCATTCAGTGCCATGAGATGGCAGCAAGCTAAGACTTGTGAAGCACTCCTTTTATATTTAATCCTGGGTGAGTGAAGGGTACACATGTTCATTCCTTTCTTGTTTGTACCTTCCTGAGTACATTCTCCCCAACTAATAAAAAGAAAGAGAGAGAGAAGGGAGGGAGGAAGGAAGGAAGGAAGGAAGGAACCGAGGACACATTTTCTCTCTCTCTTTTTCTCTCTCTCTCTTTCTCTCTCTCTCTCTCTCTCTTTCTCTCTCTCCTTCAGTCTCTCAAATTTCCAAGGACTTGCAAAGATACCAGCATATCAAGATGGACCAGAAATCCCAGGGTGAGTGACCTCTAGTTGGCCTCTGGAGCAGGAAGTGGGAGAAGGACTTGGCTAACCTCAAGGACACAGAATGTTAATCCTGTGACCTCTGACACCTGTGAACTGCAAAATGAACAAGTGACCCTAAGAGCCCAGGCAAACAGGCCTGGGGTTGGGGTGGGGGGAGGTGGCAGAGGCTCCAAGGACTTGCTTACTAATAAGACCCTCCTCTGCAAACAGCTGCTCAGATATTGCAGAACATGGAGGAACTCCAAGCTGAACAGAAGAGAATGAAATCTCAGGGTGAGTGGCTGGGGTAGGGGGTGTGGGGTCAGATTAGCTGGGAGGGAGTGTCCCAATCCATAACCATCACTACTGAGACCAGCCCTACCCCCCAATGCCTGTCAGACTCTGAGCTGTCCTGGAACCTGGATGGACTCCTAGCAGATCTGAACAACCTCAAATCCCAAGGTGAGCCTTAAGGGGAGATCAGGTGTGGTGTATGGGGAAGGGGCAAGAAGGGGACCTGCTGGTCAGGCTCTGAGCCTTGATGCCCCACCCCCACCTTTCCCCTAAGGTTTAAACCAGAGGCGAGAAGCCTCAGACATGCTGGAAAGACTCAAGGAGGAGGTGGCAAGACTGCGGATAGAGCTGAAGTTGTCCCAGGGTGAGCACATAAGTCTGTGTACGGATGGTGTGTGGCCGCTCCTGGGCCTGTGGTGTGCGAGCACAGCACAGTGAGTGACAGTGTGTGTATGTGAGTGGCAGCATGTCAGTGCATGTGTGTGGCCCAAGTGTCACTGGAGACACAAAGGGACACGTGCGAGAGGTGTGTTCGGTGAGCACAACAGGGGTGTGTGATGCTGAGATGGAACTGAGTTGGGGGACAGAACGCATGTGGCCCAGTAAGCCCCTTCTGGCTCCAGCTGCACCCTTCCACCTATGGGGAGGGGGGGGTCCCTAATGGTTCTTCGGCTCCAGGTCAAAGCAGTCCAGTGTTGCCCATAGCTGGCTTCTCTTGCCAGACTGTCTTCTCTGCCTGACACAGCTTAGTGGGAGGTCATCAGTAGAATTCCATTGGTCAAAGCCCTCATGAAAGATTGTCTTCCCAGATCAGGGGCCAGATAGGGCTAATGTCTGATGCAGTGGGACAAAGAGGATGGTGGCATCTTCCCCGGGGGTGGTAATGATGGGTGGTATTGGCTCCATGAGGCCAGCAGGCTGTAGAGAAAGGAGACATTCATTCAATCACTATACTATCAATACTATTTAATGTGGAGTGGGAACCAGGGTTTTACAGCCCTGCTGCCTGGTCCCAACCCTTGACTTTGAACTATGATCTCCTGACTTCTGGAAGCCCCAGCTGCCCCAATCGTGTGAGAGAAGAAGGATCTTTGCTTGTTGGGAAGGAGTCTTGTCTCCTTGGATGTGGGAATCCCAGCAAGAAACCCCACTGTGATCTCTCAGACAGAGGCAGGGGATAGGGGATTCCGCATCATGCTCAGTTCTGATAGGTCACCTCCCAGTTCCTACCCAGGCCTTGGGGTACCCTCCAGCACAACTCTAGCCCCAAGGCCTGGCATCTGAGTGCCTGGCTCTGAGGCTGTGTTTACATTAGATGCTCATGTAGTAAGAGGCTGAGACTGTGTCCCCAAAGTTTGCTTTATGGGCCCAGACACGTCACCTTCCTGTTTTTATGCCACACCTCCAGAGGACCGAGTTCTGGTTACCATTTCATAAGTAAGAAACTCGTCCAACTCAAGCTATTGTGGCCCCCATCCCCTTTAGAAAAATCTGAGCGAAGCTATGGAAACCTCCCTACACAGCACTATATGAAATCCTATTTTAAAGCAAGAGTCAATCCAGTGACAGGGGGTTTAACACCCCACCTGGGGTGGTGATGACAATAATACCTGTGTCCTTGGGGTAGGCAGAAGGAGACCAAGCTGGCCCCACATCAAGAGCTCAGGGACCAAACCCTGCAGTCCTATTTTCCCTCTCAATTTGCTCTCCTGACCAGTGCCTCAAATCGGAGGAAAAGCGGTCCAATTTCCCAGAAAGTGGTCAGGAAGTCTGGTTTTGGGGGTGCTGTCAGCAATGGTAGCCCTGGCAGCTGGTGAAGATAGTGCTGGGGGAAAGTAGTGCCGCTGCACTTGATCACAGCACAGTCCCACCTATGCTCTTGACACTGATGAGGACACAGCTGGTGGAGGGAGAGACAGCATTGGCAGTGGGATGGGTGGTGGAGACCTGTAACTGACAGTACCAGATGTCTGCACAATGATGCTGGTGATGATGCTGTTGACCTTGGAGGTGTGTGGGGAAATGGTGTTGGTGGTCCAGGCATCACCAACTCCAAAGGTGTTTGTGGTTGAGAAGCTGCTGACTGGAACTAATAATGCGAGGTCACGTTGGCAATGAGGTGGTGCCGGCCATGGTGGTGTCTGCGGGGATGACGTGGCTGAAGTGGTGTGATGGCAGTGTTGGCTATGGAACTGGGAAGGTGGTCATGGCATTGGCAAGTGCCCCTAGCTAGGGTTGACTTAAGGTGATCATAATTGTGGTTAAGGCGTTTCCGACCACCGTGGTGTTTGTGGAGCGATGGTGGCTCCACCATACTGGATGATTGGACGTAGGTGTGTCTAAGGTCCTGTTGCTGTCAGCTGAAGGGCTGCTGGTCATGGATGTATTTATGGCAGGCATGTCTGACTGCCGCCTGTGGACCATGTGCTGATTTTGTGAGGACTTACTGTTTACCTGTGATGTTGGGTATCATAAAAATTATGCACACACCTTTCATTTGCTCATCAGCTTTCATTAATGTTTGTGTATTTACTGTGTGACCTAAGATAGCTCTTCTTCCAGTGCACTACAGAAAAGAAAGAAGGCTGGACAGTCCTAGTTTATGGTGATGGTGTTGGTCATGAGGTGTCTGTGGAGATGTTAGTAGTAGTTGAGGTGCTGCTAACCACGTCGTGTTGGCAGCAATGCTGCTGGTGACTGTCATTCTGCTACCCCATAGAGGCACTTGCCATGACGGTGCCAGTGGCTGAGCCCCTCCTGCCATGGAGCTGGTCAGTGTCAGCTCCAATGAAGAGGCAGCCTGCAAGACTGTCTATCAGGCAGCCCCAGGGTAGGTCAGTTTTCATCCAGGACCCCAGGAGAGACGCTGCCCCCCACCTTCCTGCTGTGCCCATGGCACCTAGCCCGGTGCCCACTGCCCTGCTGAGCCCCTCCTCTGCCCCAGGCACCACGTGCAAGATGTGCCCCAAGATGTGGGTCTACTTCCAGCAGAAGTGCTACTACTTCGGGGAGGGTGCCAAGAAGTGGCTCCATGCGCAGTACGCCTGTGAGGCCATGGGAGGGCGCCTTGTCAGCATCCACAGCCGGGAGGAGCAGGTGGGTGGGCTCTGCCAAGGCTGAGAGCAGCACGCTGCAGGGGGAGGGGATCCCCACATCCCCCCACAACCTCCCACAGTGTGTGGAAGAAAGCCTGGTACATCTCCCTGGTCCTCCAGCTCTGTCCTGCCCCTAGGACTTCCTGATCAAACGTGCTGACTGGAAGGGCTCCTGGATTGGCCTCCAGGACCTGGACAGGGAGGGGCAGTTTACCTGGATGGATGGGAGCCCTGTGAGCTACAGGTGAGGAGGCAGCAGTGTCACAGAGCAGGCAGCTTCCACAGGAGGGGCCAGGGCTCAGGGAGGTGACTTCTGGGGTACAGATGAAAGACTGAGGCCTGAGGGGTGGGGGAGGACAAGGAGGGACTAGAGCCAGGGGTCGGGAAGGGCACTGCAAGCACAGGTTGGGAAGGCAAGTCTGGTGTGCAGGGGAAGTGGTAAAAAGTGGGGAAGAAAGTCCCCAGGCTCAGACCCAGAAAGGGAGAGCTGTGCTGAGGAAGGAGGGCCTGGGCTCTGACAGGGATGTGTCCAGGTTGCCAGAATGGAGCTCCCCAGTGCCCCCACCCCAGCCTCTAACCTGAAGCTTCTCCCTGCAGCAACTGGTACCCTGGAGAACCCAACAACCAGGACCAGGGTGAGAACTGCGTTATGATGAGGGGCTCGGGCCAGTGGAATGATGCTGCCTGCCAGAGCAGGCTGGATGCCTGGGTGTGTGAACAACTGGCCACATGCGGACTGCCTGCCACCTTGGTCCCTGTAGAGCCCCTAGGAACTGCTCCAAGCCCTGAACCTTGATAGCCACCTGCCTGCCTCTTTGTATTCCTCTTCCCCACCCTTCATGAACATGGGAACAGCCAGGCCCAGAGTGGGACCCTGAGGACTTGCAGCCAAAGCCTGAACACCTCCATGGCTGAAGGAGCCTTGTGATAATTTTGCCCACCCCCCAGCTCCTCTGCAGCCCCTGCCCTGGACTGTCTCCCCTACTGCCTCCCCAGATGCAGCCCCACAGGACAGGGACCCCAGCCCAGGCAGCAAGAACTCCTGCCCAGCCTGCATTAATAAAATGGGGTTGCAAGGCCCCCACACCCTGGTCCCCTCCTCAGAGGCCTGGCTGGGTTGGATCTGGTCTCTAGGTGCAGCATGTGGGAGCTGGGAATTCAGGAGCCTGGTGTCTAGCCCACCTTTAACTATTGTGAGCCACCAAAGTGCAATCCACACCTTCCCCACCATTTGCATGCTTCTCCTACTTCATTACAAGAAGAATGTACTAGGTACAGCTTGAAAATGAAGATCTGGGGCCCAAAAGGCCCACTGAAAATACTGCAGGAAAAGGCAGTGGACTGTCCTGTGCTGAGTTCCTCAGCCTAGGGCAGCAAGGGTAGGGATGGTGTTGACACATGCCAGGGGTCCAGAACAGAGCCTGGTACATGGAAAAGAGCCCAGTAAATGCTGGGCAGCTAGACAGGAGGATGGGAAGTCACCTGGAAGTGCTGGTCCCAACCCCAGGGTAGGCTGGGGTCAGCCTGTGCCCTCCTATGAGGCCATAGGAGAGAGGGTAAGAAGGCAGAACAGTCCACATCAGACTCCTCTCCTTGCTCAAGCCAATGCAGGTGTCATTCATGCCTCCTCCCTTTCTTTTTGGCACCACCTCCAAGCCCCATGCGCTCTACCCTTAGGCTACTCTCATGATTGGCCAACAGAAAAAGCCAAAAGGATCCCTTGATGGTCACAGAGCCTGTCCCACCAGCCTCCTTGCTGTTCCTTGGACATGCAGGCTCACTCTCACTCCAGGGCCTTTGCACGTGCCATTTACCCTGTTGAGTCCACCCTTCTAAGTCTCTGCTCTTGGTGGGGCATTCTGAGAGCCTCTGCACCCTCATCTGCACAGAAATCACAGCCTCTGACTCCCTGTTCCCCAGTCCCTGCTGTGCTTTCTCACCACAGCACATGCTCCTTTTTTAACTAAATCTACCACTGACCGATTTCTCTGTCACCTGGCTGGCTCTGAAGTTTGCTTCAGGCAGCACCCTTGTTCTGTTCTCAACTGTGTCTCCAGGCCCTGGCACATGGTAGATGTTCGATAAATGTTTGTCAAATTAATAAACCCGTGTGACCATGGACAAATGACCTCTCAGAACCTGGTTCATGGCCAAGAAATCAAGGTGATGTTGCTTGCCTGGCTTGCTGAGGGCTGATACTGGGGTCTCTGTCCTCATTCTCCTCCTCTTCCTTCTTTCCACCTGGGGCCTCCAGGGAAGACCTGACTTGACGCTCAAAGCACCCTAAGTCAGGGCCACTGTGATCAGAAGCTGCTTTCTCCCTCTCCATCGCTTGCCCTCAGCCTCACAGTCCTATAGCTTGCTCAAACCCTTCCATTCCCCACATTCCCACTCAGTAGGTGGGAAAAGACCCTGGGCCCTCCAGCTCCTCCCTTTGTTTTTCTCTGGCACACACTCCTGGGCAGAGCTGGCCATCCCACTCCAGCCTCCTACCTCTAGCCCCTGCCCCAGCAGGCCCTGGAAGCCACCAGGGTCCCAAGAACTTGCTGTGTCCTGCATCCCTTCACCCCCAAATCCAGCTTCCCAGACACCAAACCCATCTCCTTCTGTTACCCAGGGTTCCATCCCCTCCCTCCCAACATCCTCTAGGCCTGCAGCATCTCTTTCCAGACCCCAAATCCTTAGACCTGTGTACCTGTTGGCACCCTAGGTACTGTCCCCCCTCATTCCAGATTCAGGTCATCACCCCACCCAAGCCTCTTCCCAGCACCCCTAGATTCCTCCCCTCTGCCAGCCAACAGCTTTTCCATGATTAGCCCTCTGCTGCATGTAACAGGTGCTCAACAATTTTACTTACCCTATTGACACTACCTGCTTCCCAATGTGCTAAAGTCCACCCCAGCTCATCACTTTTCTCTGAGATGACCAAAACTACCTACCCCTTGACCAAACCTGGGCCCCTAGGACGCCAGGCAGCTGGATGAAGTGTCCTAAACAGCAAATTGGAAAGCAACACTCATTCTGCCCTCACAAGCAATACAGGGGACCCAGCCCAAAGTCCCTGCAATTCCTTTTCAGAATAAACTTGTTGAGGTTCTCAGGGCAGAGGAAAAGGAAGCAAGGAAGAGCTGACCATGTTTCCAAAAATAACATGGAAGGGTTTTTCTTTGGGAGGGGCACCACCAAGCCTGATGGGCAAAGAGGGAAACAAAGGCTGCCCAATGGAGTAATATCCTTTTTTTTTTTTTTTTTTTTTTTT